TTTATTTTTGATTTAAGTATATGATTTATTTCATACTAAAATACCAAGAGTTTTAAGTCAAAGTAATATTTTTGTTTTGAACTAAAATTATAATTCTTTAAACAAATAATATGTATAATTGATTTAAAAATATAATTTTATTTTAAATATATGGTATGTTTAAAATATTTTATCGCGAGATTTTAGTAGCACGTGACTTATGGAACCAATGGGTTTACCAGAAACTGTTTCGCTTCGGTATCGGTGCCGGTGCCGGTATTCTTTTTAGCCGCCATTTCGTTTATGTGTTTCCTCTGGTGTAGTTTATAAAAGTTTGTGCAAAAATATGGAAGAACTATTAGAACAATGTAATTTGGAAGATCTAATCCCCGTTTTTAAAGGTAGGTAATATGTTATTAATAATAATAGTAGTATGTGTATTGTTATTGTTTTGCTTTTAAAATTATTATTATTAATATCGTAATATGTTATATTTAAAATACGGTATCTTATATTTTATAAGATACCGTATTGTTTATTTTTGTTTAATTTTAAATACGAAGGTTTATCTTTTGTTTCATTTTATATGCGAATGTTTATTTTTTGTTATTTTAGGATTAGTTTCATGATGCTCTTGTAAATTTATATTATTTGTACCAAAATAATTATAATTAAATAAATATGGATTTTTAATTATTTAATGTATTATTTCTTTATTTTAAAAAATAAAACATACCTACATAGTGGAGTTCTTGAACAATTTAAATCATGGTAATATATTCAAGCTAAAGGAATTTAAAGCTATCTACTGTAGACTTAATCTACTAGACTGTAGGCAAAAATGTAATGTTTTTAAAATAATTCTGCAAAGAAGGATTAACTTATTAAAATGCTTATTTTAACTAATATAATATTACTATAAATATATATGTAAGTGTATAAGGTACATTCTTACTTAAATTAACTTGTTACATTATTTTAAACTACATTATGTATGTACATTTTGTGTGTAAATAAACATTTTAATTTAAATAAAGCCTATATAAAAGGATTTATTAAAAAATATTACATTTTTGCTTTAAATCTAAATTTGACCTTAAAGTAAGTATAAAAATTATTTAAATTAAACACATCGTTGCCTTAATATGAAAGCATGCATTTCTTCCAACAAAAATATTATACATTTAAATCAACCATATGTTAAATTTTAACCAAAAAACATTATTTTTGCGTCAAATTTAATTTATTTTTAAATTAAATATATCGTAGTTTTCTATAAAAAATATCCAATACTTACGACAAAGGCATTATATATTTACATAAAGAAGCCCAACTTTTCCATTTAAGAATATATTAGTTTTAAACTAAGTCATAACATGCATTTAATTTAAAGCGCGCATTTACTTTTTCTAAGATCATGATATATTTAAATTACAAATATAAACTTATCTTGAGTCTAATAGATGATTTATTTGTGGCTATTTAAAACAATGAATGCTTTGGTTTAAACCTACAGTATTTGACTGAAAGCATCTTTTTTTACTGTGTGTATGTACGTTTATTTTAAAGTTGATTTGTTTTATTGTGAATATGTATAAAGCATTAAATAAACTTACTTTTAAATGAAAGCATAGTTTTAAGCATTGTTACCAACCTTTATATACACCTTCAATAAAAAATGTAAGAAATACAAAATTTAGGAAGATTAGGTCCAGGATTATGCAGAAGTTAATTTAGTTTAGTTAAATTTTTAGAAATATGAAGTTCTTTTTCAAATGGGTTTATGCATGTTAATACAAAATACATAACCGCAATCACCAAAGATCTTATTATCAACTTGTATAAATGAGATCTTAAAAATGTTCCTTTTAAAATTAGGAAATCAAAAGCTTAAAATAAAGAAGGTTTTATTTTTAAATTAAGAAGTAAGTATGCTTACATAAAAAATCTTCATTCTTAACCCCTTCAGACCTGGCGTACATACACATGTACATTAGCTTTTTAGTAATTTATTTACTATCAATAGGCATTAAATTTCATTTAGAGCCTAGTTTTCACCCCCAAGTACATTTGTTTTGGTAAACTAAGGTACATTTTGCGACTTCTCTTACTTAAACTGCCCCTTTTGATTGAAAATTCTCTCATATAATGGAGATGCGCATAATGACAGCAACAACTCGTTGACGACAGTTTGTCTTAGCGGGTCTTTAGATGATTTGTAAAGATATTTTTTAAGTATAAACTGGTGTAGTTTGTTCCTAAAGGTATGTACTAAGACATGTAAAAACTATTTTGGTATTATCCACACCTAAACCGTATAAAACATTCGATGTACATGCATGTGAACATCCTGAAATTATCCTGAAATTTCAGAATTAAGATTTTTTAACATCAAATATGTGTTATTTAGGTCCTAATTCGATAGATTTAAGAGCCATTTATTTTTTTTTATCGTCGTAAAATAATTCAGGTCTGAAGGGGTTAATTTGAAAATTTTAAAATGTAAAATTAAGAACGATTTTTTCTAATTTAAGCAGTATTAAATCTTGAAATATAAGACTGTTCTTAAATCAAGTAGATCTCCATTCTTAAATTAAAATCTTTAAAGTCTAAAATTAAGAACCTTTTATTTTCAAATTAAATATTTATTCTCAAAATTTAAGAATGTGTTTATTAAATGAAGAAAATCCCCATTCTTAAAATAAACATTTTCATTCTAAAGTTAATAATTACTTAGTCTAAAATTAAGAACGCTATTCTTTAAATTTAAGATTGTGTTCAGTAAATGAAGAATGTATGAAATGTTAACCTTTAAGCAGTTAATTCTAAAAGCTAGCATTTATAATTCGTCTTTTAAGAATGATGTGTTAATTTAAACTTTTCATTCTTTACTTCAAAATAAGAAAAAACATTCTTCAATTATTCTCAAAATAAGAATAATTTGTGCTTGGGCCATTTTGAAGAACGACTTGTTTTAATTTAAATGTCATTTTTCTTGTTTTTAAGCATTTATTTTTTTGAGTGTTTAAAACACATTTTTTTTTTTAAGAAAAAACGCACATTGATTTTTTTTAAATATTTTTTTTGTCCTTAAAACCCCTGAATACTAAATTTTGTTAAACAAAAAAGTTAATTTTTTGAACTAGTTTTAATAACCCAAACTTAACAGGATTAGCATAAACTGTATTTGGTATCAATCCACATTGCAAATTGTACTAGACAAAACGGCATTTAGTATACTTATTACAAATGTACAGTACCGTAAAACGGGATAAATAGAAACTTGAGGGAAAATAGAATCAAATTTATACGATTTGTTTAAAAATCATATTTTGTTTAAATTACATTTGGGATGTTTCGGTTTAAGTATATAAATTTTATAAACTTAAACCAAAGCTTCCCAAATTTAATTTAAACAATTTATGATTTTTTAAAGAAATCCTGTAAATTTGAGTATATTCCCGACGCCAGTAATAACAAAACAAAGCAGTCTACTTTTCTCAATTCACTTTTACAGCGCAAAATAAGGTTATATTTGGCGATTTCCGGTAATATTTAATACCAACATGACAAAAATATGTCAAAAGTTGTGATTCTGTAATTAATACTTCAAAATGCATGAAAAAACAGATTACAATTTTACTAACAATTTATCTCTAGTTAAATATAACTGTAACTTACGAAAGTACTATTTAAATGCAATATTGAAAAACCGGGTCTTAGTGTCATGGAAACAAGGGGCGTTTTAAAGGTTGGAGTAGGAAAATAAATATACAGGGTGGTCCAGTTTAAAAAGTTTCTATTAAAAACATTTCTTAAAAATGTTTCTTAACAGAAGTACAGGCCGTCAAAGTTTTGAAAAAAACTAGAATTAATACTGAATAATTTAAAAAAACATCGGTGGCGCAGTTAATGGGGGGCTTGTTTCCCTTTTAACCTCAGTATTTGACGCCACTAAAAATTTTAAAATCATAAATATTATCTGTTCAATTTATAGAAAAAAACTTTTCAAGTAAAATTTTGATTTAGGGCTTCGATTCTAAAGTAATGAATTTAAAGGTTTAGGAACAAAAAAGGGAATTTTTAAAAATCTAAGTTAACGTAAAATAGCTTCTAGAAGCCTTGTTTATTTTGTTTCCATAACAACCCTTCACGGTCTGTATCATTTTCGAGCAAAGTTTTTAAATAAAATCCCACCCTATTTTTGATTCAAATATTAAAATCAATGACGTTTAAACTGGACCACCCTTTATAGTTCTTTTTAATTTATTTAATAAATATCATAAGGCTGTTTCGCATTCAAATTTTAAAGTGGAGCAACTAAACTTTTTTAGATATATTATATAAATCAGTTTCCTAATTGTTTTAAAAAGCCGATATATATATATATAATATATAAGATATCGGCTTTTTAAAACAATTAGGAAACTGATTTATATAATATTATATAAATTAGTTTCCTAATTGTTTTAAAAAGCCGATATATTATATATAATATATCGGCTTTTTAAAACAATTAGGAAACTGTAATTTTTACTGCTTTTACTACTTAACTATAGTTAGTATACACCATGTTTGTACCTACTCGTTTTACAAAATAAAATTTGGAATAAATTAAAATAAAAGTTTTTTGTATAACCAAATCTAACGAAAATTACATTTCCGCCACCTCTATTTTTGAAAATTTAATAATTCTTTAATAGTCTTTAATACACCTTTTAATTCAATTTACTTTTTGTTTTATTTATTAATTCGGAACTCCAATAAAACAAATTGGTTATCCTGGTCTATAATTTTTGATAAAAAGCGTCCCATTTAAAAATTGTGGTCTGCAAAATTTGGCTCATTTAAGTATAATTATTATTTATAGCTTTATGTTAAAATTACTTTAAACAAACTTATTTCAAAAAATTTAACAAACTATATTATAACAGGGTTTAAAATTCCAAAGATATATGTTTTACAACTTATAGTTAAAGTCATTGTTTATATTAATTTTGCATTAAACATTTTTTAAAAATTGATCAATATTTTATTAGGACGTTACTCTACACAATACATTTTTCTACATATGATTTTTGACGACAAATTAATGATTTGGGTAGATATTTTCGCTATATGTGTCCAATAATTCTTTAAATTTTTCAATGGATTTTGGGGGTAAAACGTGTTGATAATATTGATAATTTTGCACGATCGTGCTTCTTTTAGGCAAAGCCAAGGCAAACAGTCGATCTGAACAACTTTTTGATTTCTTTTTCTTAGGGACATTCTGTACTTTTGATTGGGTGATGACTTGTTTCTCTTTTGTCATTTTTTGGGTAATTTTTAGGTCATTTTGTTGAGCATTTTTACCTAAAATTTGCAAAATATTATATTAAAAATTGGACAAAAAATAAAAATTTATAAAGTTTGAGTTAATCAAATGTGATATATAATGTCCAAATAAAGTAAGACTTTTCCTCGAGTTTTCCTGTGTAATTTAAAAAGGTTTTACCTTGAGTCTTATCGATGTTTTTCTTATTTTTCTTTACTTTATCGCCGCCCAGTTCCTTGTCCATCTGACTGTAAAATTCCTCTTTGATTTTCTTAATGTTTTGATTTCGTTTTTGCGTCTTTGGACTTCTATCTTTGTCGTACCCATAGTCGACATCATACATCGGGGAATAATTCGTGAATTTTGATATTAAAGGCATTTTTAACGCGTATCCAAAATTTAACAAAATAATTTACACAAATGTCTCAACGACATAATACAGCTTTGTTGTCAATTTTTTCATTGTTGTGATTTTTTGCAGATACATAAGAAAAAGAATAAAATCCTTCAATGTGGATTTTTCTGGTTTTAAAACATATCGTCTTTAAATTTAAAATTTCTTTGTAATAATTATAACTTGATTATAATATATGGATTAAAAATTTAAATTTCATATTTAAACAGGAATTTAAATAAGATTCTTAACAAGACGTTAGATTAATTTTATGCTGTTATTAAAAAAATCTCACTCCAAATCAAAATTAATTATAAAAACAATCGCTTAAACAATATCTTACTTCTTAATTAACGAGAGCTTGATGCTTTGACAAAAAAATTATTTTCGTATTTCGTTTTGGGTTAATTAATTTACCTTGTATTATAAGTAAATCAATACGACTCTGTCCTTGGTAATTTTATTTGTTATGTTAAAGAAAACATTATTAAGAGAGTTTTAAAAAAAATATTCTATAGACCTAATACCTAAATCTTACCTTACCTAAAATTTTGTAGCGCCAATGAAAACGAAACAAAGGAGTTTTCGGGTAGTAATTTTTTTAAAAACGCAAAGGTACGTCAACTTTAGTTTCGAAGGAAACATCTTTTGCAATATATTTCACTTGCAAATCGCTTCACCCCTTCGCGCAGTGATCACAACCCCTAGAATTTTAATTGGCATGATAGGGCATTCAGTGGCGTATTTAGGAATTTTCTTTGGGGAAGAGGCAATGGCGCAATTAAAAAATAGGTTTTTTTTATTCAAAGGAAAATGTACAGGGTGATCCTCTATAATGTCGCCCCCCTTTAACTTTTTTATTTTAAGTGTCCCAAAAAAATTAAAAGTGTGGTTATGTAGGAACTAAAAAATACTTTTTTTCTACGTATAAAGAAAATGGGAAAATTGATCAGTATACAGGGGAAAACAAAAAGTTTATTTTTTTTCAATGGATCACCCTATATTTGAATTTATTTTTCGATTCCTTGTAAAATTCTGAGCATTGTTTTTCCCTGTATACTGATCAAATTTCCAATTTTCTTTATAAGTAGAAAGAAAATATTTTTTAGTTCCTACATAACCACACATTTTTTTGGGACACTTAAAATAAAAAAGTTAAAGGGGGGCGACATTATAGGGGATCACCCTGTACATATAAGAAATTAAAAAAAAAATCGTGTAAAAGAACTGTGGAAGCATCAGAAAAGCATTTATCAGTTTTTTATATACAAATAATTAGTTCAGTTTTATTTAACAATGGTTTACAGTATTGCGGAGAGTTGAAGATCACCTTTTTTTATGCATGAGTGCGAAAATTGTGCACCAGATTTATTCAATAAACACCATCCTGGTATGCATGTCAATAAAAAATTCGATTTGGAGTTGTTGGTAAAGTTACGTACGCAGCGTCAGTAGCGAACAAAAACGGATTTTTGGACCAGAACGTGATCGTCCGGTTAGGATTGAAGCTGCTAGGATAGGAATTTTAGGATATGTTGTTGCTGACCCAATTGAGCACGAGGGAATTAGCGGTTACTAACATTTCTGGAAGGATCATCAAACGGACCCTTGGATTACATAAATTTCGTACTTACAAGATTCATTTGGTTTATGAATTAAAATACACTGTTATAAAAATCAGATTTGTTAAGATGAGTTGGTAGTTTGTTAATTTTATTTTGTAAACTTAATTTTTTTTATAAAACCAGGGTTTGCAATTATTTTAACAAAGAAAAATATTTAACCGAAAGTTTTGTAGAAGTAAAATGCAATTTTACAGATTATTTTTTAATGTCTAACAATTAGTTAAAACTACACGTGATTTCAAGCAGACAATAAAAACAATTCTTACTGACTTTTTTATCATCATACATCCAGCTTCAGCACAACAATATGCATCAACAAGTTCAACTGAATTCGGCATCTGCAACACATTGTTCTGCCTATTCTATTTTGATTCGTAACGTGTTCGTAACAACTGGATTGTTTATAATATATTACTAGAAATCTGTTATAATTGTTTTTCGGATTCCTTATATATATATATATATATATATATATATATATATATATATATGTATTTAACGAGTGTGCGAAGTACGAAGTATCCGAAAAAAATGTCATGACTGGTTTTCAAACTAAAATTAGGGGATACAGTGAAGTGGGTTGGGTTGGGTTGGGCAAAATGCATCAGTAAGTGTCGTACTCTCTTAAAATAAAATAGTCAAAAACTACTTACTTTCATAGCAGCCACTAATAATTCTAGTCGACAGCAATTTGTGTTGTCAAAAGTTATAAAAGTAGAACAATTTTTGAGATAAACTCAAAATTCCATATATGGGTGATTCTACAAAAGTTGGACAACTTGATGTCATCAGTCAATATATAGAGTAGGTATTTTAATACTTTTTGTAAATATTTTAGTATATTACAAAAGATCCAGGTTTTTTTAACTTTTCCACCCAATTTTAATGTATTTTTTCAAAAGCACGTTTGTAGAAAAACATAATAAATATTCAAAACATCAGTACCTTGGCGTGTCACAACTCCTGAATGAAATGAAATGAAAGTGGTTTTATTTTAAAATTCAAAAAAAAAACAATAAAACATTAATTAATGTATTTTTCATCATAGATTCGAATAATAGCAATTTAAAAAAAAAATTATAATCTTTGTACTCACTTTTACCCGTCAGTTCTGTGTCCAATGTTAAAATTTAAAATTCCTGCGAAATATTGAAGTTTAAACGTCCTCGTTTTAACCCAAGTGTTGGTAAAAAATTACCTACAGAGCCCGCCCTTTGCACGACAGTCATTTTGAAAACAATGCAAGCGGCGAAGTTGTGGTGAATGCACGTATAGTTCCAGTCAAAATTTCAGTACTGTGGTGAGTAGTTATTTTCTTACGTATATATATTTCATTGTAATTTATATAAGCCTATATGTGATTTGTTGATAAGTAGCATCCACTAATAAAAAATATCAGTAAAATACTTAATTCCGAATTATAATCTCAAATTTGTATCCCATTCATCAGTACCGTCTCGTCAGTTATCTTTTTTTCGCAAACTTCAATTTAAATTCTGCTTGCACAAAACTTGTTTATTTTATGTCATTATAAACACATATAAATTTGATGTGGGTTCCATATCTAATAATTGAGATATCGGTATACCTAAAATCCACCAGCCGCCACTGATGTGTGGTATTATTTGATTTTAAGATATTTAATATATAATATGCTCAAAGTTGCAATAAATCTTATTTTTTCCAATAAATTATGTATTTAATTAGTACCCTGGTATACTCGTCACTTCCCTTGCATTTAAATTTAGAAACACACAGAAATTTCAGAAACTGTTTGAAAAAGTGACTGACCCGGTCTGGAGCAGTATATCTATTTATTATATTATCTATGTTCTCATAACAAAATTCTGTTTAATTTTCTCCGAAAACTATATAAACAAAATGAGGACAAAAGTTGCCCAACGTTTGTAGGATCACCCATATGGAATTTTGACTTCGATGACCTTACGATATTATAAAATGGAAATTGGAATTGCGAATGAATTTAATATATGTTTCTAGCATGGACCATGCTCTAGGTTTGCTTAATATTCTTAAAAGTATTTAAATCGTTTGAAAATCGAGAAAGAATAAAAATTAAGGGGGCAAATTTAATATTTTAAAAATGTTTGGAATTTTTATTTTTGCATATACCTACTTCATTAGTAAAACTTGAAACCCCTATTATACTTAACAATATCCCATATTAACAAACATCTTTTTTTCTCAACAGTATGGTTGTTTTAAGTGACTTATATCTACAATAAAAGTAATTTCACACTGATTTTCGACATCATGTCCTAAGCCCATTTCTTAACAAACATCTGCATGCTGCGGCGCTAGCATTCAGCGATTCTATTCTATAGACTATATTTTAGATTATTGACGCAATGTTAAACATTATTGACGCAATGTTAAATATTCGCCGGACAAACTCTATAGTCATGTTTTTTGCTTTATTTTAGGTACCTTTATAATATTCGGAGGAGGTCTTTTTGTACTTCGCTCAGCACAAAAAGACTCACTTTTCTTCACAATGACATACACTGAAAAAAATAAGCTGTTGAAACAACAAAAAAAATATTAATTCAACTCTTTATGCACTTTAAATACAAGCAATGGTTTTTGCACGTTTACTTAACCATCTAAAAATGTCAAATTGTATTGTTTAATTGAACAACAAATAACAGTCAAATGAACAAAATAAGAATATTTGTTCTAATCTGCTAATTTGGTTAATTTAACATTCTTAGGGTGTTAAGGTAAATTTCTTGAAATGTCCAGGTAACCTTTTTAGCATATTCACTTAACACCAATAAAATGTTAAATTAACATTCTGAAAATGTTAAATTCTTTAAAGGTTGGTATCCAAAACAAAATTATGGAAATAATATATTATTATATATAAATAGAAAGAATTGAACCTTCACCTCGCCCAAAGTTTTTGTTTTGAGCGTGTTCCACCCATGATACATCTTTGTATCATGTGTTCCACCTACTTCAAATACCGACAGACTGTTTCGCCCTGTATTGAGGGTCTTAACAGTGTCGGGCAATATGGTGTAGTGAAAGTTCTACTGTGGAACACACCTTAAACAAACAGATATCTCATCTTATATACACCTAATCGTAAGCTAACTAAGGCGAGATGTAAGAAAACGTCATTGTCTAATGACGTGGCGTGAGTGTTCGAAGCGCCATTCTCTTGTCAATTTTATGAATGCAAATTTTACATTTTAAATTTTAAAGTAACATTTTAAATTTGTTAAATGAACAAATTTAAAGTTTTGGATTAAAGAGCAACTAAACGTTAATTTAATAGTTTTTTTAGGTAATCCTAAAAATTTCAGTAGTTGATTCAACAAATTCCAGCTATTAAATCAAAGTACGATAAACATTTTAATTCAAAATATTAGTTTATGTTAAATTAATATTTAAACTGTCAAATGAACAAATAAACTTTGACAAACTCTGACTTTTGCTTTAACACCAAAATATAGATTAATATGTAGGTCTGTGGATTAATCCAATAGGTTTTTTGTTGAAACAACATTTTTAAAAATGACATTTAGGCAAATGTTAACTCAACTACATTATTTTTTTCGGTGTAGTCTACTATTATTTTAATTTAAAAATATTATTTAATCCAATACGGGCGCCAGTTTCTATAGAATCTATAGAGACAAGTATACCCAACAATCTGTTTTCTAAGAAATAATTACTTAATTCCAGCGTCAAATAAAATAAAAAATTAAAATAATATCTAATATAATAAAAAAATTGTTTTAAATTTTAACAATAAAATAAGATCAGCGATTTTTTTTAAAAGTTATGCTGAAACGTGTTGACCGATTTGATATTTTTTTGGGCCATAATACTTGATAAGCTCTATTTGACCATGTTTTTCAAGGCTTAAATGGGTCAAAATTTAGAGATCGCAAGCGCGATCATTCGAATTTTTTTTTAATGGATAGCGCATTTAATTCGGACGTGCCTAAAATACCGTTATACGAAGTTTGAGCACAATACATTTGAGTCTAATTTTAGAGTATAAAAGTTGTTTAGGATATACCTTTTTTTAATTTCGGAGGTGTTTCGTCTCCAACGTTAGATATCTGATAGGGCTATAAGTCAAATAAATATATAATAGACAGAAATACAGGGTCATTCGAAAAGTAAAAAATTTTAAAATTCGCTATGCTGTGACAAACACCCTATATTAGGTATTGAGCTTAAACTTTATAAAAAGCTATTGAAGGCACGTCTGAATCCCATTATTGAAATAACTTAATTTTTTGTAGGTGTCCGAGACACGATTTTTTGAAAAAAATGTCCTTCTGAAAAACTTATTAACACCATTAAAAAAAAATATCGGGGCAAAATAATATATATGTTTATAAATGTCCTGATAGTCCAGTCAACAAAAGGTTGTAGAGGAAGAATCAGCATTTTGACGTTGTGACTTTGTTTGGACTAGTTAGGAGGTATACATACTAAAATTCCCCACTCCTAGGAGGTGAGCGGGCTCCATTAAAGCTGACAAAATTTGCTACAAGATTAATTTCCTTTATTTTTTTCGCTATCTCGAATAGTTTCCGAGATATAATCGTGGATATTATCTCGATATTAAGGATGCCCTAGCTGCCCTAGATATTGTCTATTTAAAAAAAATTGCCCAACGTTTTTTGCCCTACACGCTAACTAAAGAATCCCAATATATAAAGAATTAATCTACAACAGTGGAAATTATTTGGGCAGTGAACAGTTTTCTTAATATTGCCAGTATGCCATGCCATGAAACTGTTTTTAGGTTAAATCTTTAGGATCCTTGTGGGTTAGCGTTTAAGGCAAATTTTTAGAAAATATTATATCTCGAAAACTATACGAGAAAGCAAATCAAATTAAGGGAATTCTTGTAGCATTTTTTTTTACCGTTCATTTAGGAGGCAAAAAAAACCGAAACCTCAAGTATGCGGCACTACTTAGTTAATAGTGATTAAAATATTAACATTTCACTGTTGAAAATACGTATCTCGTTTTGGTTGCTAAGCAAAAATGTGTTAACTAGAATCAAGTAATAAAGGTTAATATATTTTTGCTTATAACAAAAAACGAGATACGTATTTTCACAGTTGACGATTGTCACATTAAAAAAATTTGGTTTTCCAAATTTTGCCGCCCACAAAATTGTGCCGCCCCTAAAATTGTGCCACCCTAGGCTCGGGCCTTACGGACCTAGACCTCAATCCATCACTGGTCTGAATCGAATGCGCTATCCATTTTTTCGTAAAAATGGTCGATTTCTAAATTTCGACCCATTTAGCAGATCTTAAAAAAAACAAAATTTAAAATTTTCCCACATGGTAAAATAGAGGTCTTGAGTACCAAAAAAATATATATTAAAATCGTTCAACGCGTTCCAAATTAATGGGGTGTTGCGTTATTAAATCGCACACACTGTGAGGAGCGTCCGGTCAAAACCAAATATGTCCATCTGATCAGATTTTTCAGAAGAGCGAAACTGTTTGAACTTAAAAGTTCATTAAATTCTTGCAATATAAAGCTTGTTTCTATATCCTCTTAGGCTCCCTTGGAGGAGATCGTGATCAAAATACTTTCAGAATTTAAAGAATCAACTTTGAAGAATGGGAATGTTTGTTTATGACGAGAGTAAATGTGACTTATTTGTTTTTTATATATTTTTTTATATTATTATATTATGCGAAACAATCATTCCTCATAAAAATAGTGGACATATTTGGTTTTGACCGGATACTCCTCATATAGATGTTTTGTTCCATAAAACAGGCACAAAAGATCCTTAGACAAAGACAATACTTTGACTAAAAAATCCCTATATATGGAATAAAGCTTTTTTAGAGTGAAAGTTCCTTAGCTCAAATACCTCTGGAGCGAAAAATATCTTGAAATAAAAGTCTCTATACCCTATAGAAGCAATGGCGGACAGGGAATTTTGGACGACTATCAGCCCGTTGACATCAAAATTTAAACATCCTTTATGGACAACTAACCTTACTTCTGGTTAGGTAATCAAGTAAAAATGCTCAATATTGTATCTTTGATATTTACAGACATGGACAGCCAAATTATGACGTTCAAAATTCTGTGTCCGCCACTAGTTAATTTTGTGAAAATGGCGAATGCGCTTGGTATTAATCATTTATTTAGATATAATATAATCATTATAAATATAACATCTTTGCAGGAATTTAACGTTGTTAAAGAAACAAATACCATTCAACCTCCACAAAATACTGCAGTCCACGCCTTGACCGCCGAGCTCCTGAAAAGCACGCAACTGGAGCTGGTTTCAGTTCCTGCTGCAGCAGGACACGCTTTGCAGCACCAGTCAAAATCTTACCCCACCGGAGGAGGCCAGCAGGCACTTTGCAGAACTCCCAGCGTGTCCAGTCAAAGTAGTTTGGAGAGCAGCAACTCCAGACAAGTAAGTGTAACCAACCGTCCTGGTTTACTCAGGACAGGTTGAGGTTTTTGCTAATGTGTCCTGGTTTCAATTGTGTACTGGTTTTGTCCTGGTTTTACAGATTTGGTCCTGGTTTATACTAATTTTTTTATTATTGACGTTATTAGCACATCTTTTTTTCAAATAATAAACATTTTTTGGAAGGGTGAGGAGGGGCAGATTGTGTCCTGGTTTCTCATTTTAGAAAATTGGTCACCTTAAGTAAGTGATATTTATCAAAGTTTTTAAAATAATATTCAGTAAGAAAAATATTGACAAATTTATGGCCTGAATGAAAATAATCCAGATAGCCAAAGTATCTGGGAAACTTAAAGGAAAGGCGTTGCCGTCAAAAGGATATTTCTTGCAACAGTAGGCTAATTAGTCCAAAACCTTGCCCTTTAGTTTCATGCTATCTGCAGGAAAAATGTTTCCGCCCAAGTTGGACGCGCATTTCCAATAGTTTCTGATCAACAGTTGTATGCAACCGGGGTGCAACCTACGGGCAAAATATTTTCTACAATACGGTGGAGCCCGTTGTCTGCAATGTTAAATGTTAAATGCAAAAGGGAACTAGGCTTACGCGAGAGAGTGCACCTGTGCAGAATAAATGCATATCTGTTATATTGTTTATACAGGGCGTCCGTTTCTTATTAATCTATGGTCCGTTTTTCGAGGCTAAGCATGGGTATCTAGCTTGTCTTTAAAGATACATAATTGGTTAATAGGGTGGTCCCTAATTAGGATTGTTTTTGTACTGTTTTGCCCCAGGGGCCTATATGCTTTTAAACAGATATCACAAATTTCCTGAAAATTTGAGCTCTCTATATCAATTCTAAAATAGTGTGCTTTGTGATCGAAATTTTTTATGTAAATAACATAACAAATATACCGACAATAATGGAAAAAATATGATATTTTAGAGAATTGAACAACAAAATATTCGTAAATAAAAGCGTTCATATGTAAATTAACGTTCAAAGTTTAATTTATATAAAATTATTATTCTATGAGCAATAATGTGTTTAAGCCCCTGGCACTATATATGGTCTAGATAGCGATTTTAGCGCGAATTAATTCAAAAAGTCGGTTACTTTCAATACTGATTAGTGTCATTTAACAGTTCAAGATATGTATTAAAACTTTAAAAATTTAAGCTTAAAAAATTTAAGTTACAAATAAAATATTCACTTATAATACCACAAGAGCTTCAAAATTATCGGGTATTTTTCCCGATAGGTTCGTTGCAAACAAATGAAGGAGTCAAGTTTTTCAGGTTAAAAAATCACGAGCGCGAAGCGCGAGTGATTTTTCCTGAAAAACTTGACGACTTTATTTGTTTGCAGGGAACCTTGAGGGAAATGCCAGATAATTTTGAAGCTCGTGTGGTATTCGGGGGATTATTTTTCCGTCCCAAATGTCGGCCAATAGAATTGCACCATGTACAGTTAACAAATAAGAATTTCATAATGAATAAAACAACATTTAATTAAGATTTAATTTGTTTTTTATATATAGCAACTACCAGAGAAAATTTTCAAAAAATTATCGCTGTAATTCGCTGTAGGTTCCCTCAACAACAATGCCTCAACAATGTCCCAACAATACAGAGAACTGTCAAAAAAAATAATCACTTATAATACCACAAGAGCTTCAAAATTATCGGGTATTTTTCCCGATAGGTTCGTTGCAAACAAATGAAGGAGTCAAGTTTTTCAGGTTAAAAAATCACGAGCGCGAAGCGCGAGTGATTTTTCCTGAAAAACTTGACGACTTTATTTGTTTGCAGGGAACCTTGAGGGAAATGCCAGATAATTTTGAAGCTCGTGTGGTATTCGGGGGATTATTTTTCCGTCCCAAATGTCGGCCAATAGAATTGCACCATGTACAGTTAACAAATAAGAATTTCATAATGAATAAAAAAACAACATTTAATTAAGATTTAATTTGTTTTTTATATATAGCAACTACCAGAGAAAATTTTCAAAAAATTATCGCTGTAATTCGCTGTAGGTTCCCTCAACAACAATGCCTCAACAATGTCCCAACAATACAGAGAACTGTCAAAAAAAATAATCCATTAAAATCACAATTGAACCTTATCTAACCGCATAACTACAAATTATGTCTTTTTATCTCCGCGCTATTTTTTGTTAACAGCGAGTGGGTTTACGAATTGATTGGGATAATTTTATATTTCTACAATGACTGAACTTCAGTCACTAAAGTATCCCAATGTAGGTTTTAAAATTATTTCTTGATTACATGGACTATAAACGTTCCTAAGGTTTTAAAAAATTTCAAAAGTTTGCAATGCTTTTAAAAATTAACTTAACTGTACGACTACATAGGTCCTCCAACAGTTTAAAACCAGTTATAGGACAAATATACTAGTATAGGAATAAAAAACAATTGTATAAATTATTTTAAAGCACAATTTAGAAGTATCATAACAACTAAACAATTAATAATATATAAATACAATACTTAAAAAACAGTTATATATAATATTTAACAACAATAAACAAGGTATTACCAAAGAACCCCAATATACATAAAACAAACAATCATTGTAACACATTTGAATTAAATAAGATATAGTTAAGTGAAGAGTGATGTATATCGATGATAGGGTTTAAATGGTTAAAGTTTTTACACATAACATTTACTGGAGCTTTAGGTAGTACGTTGGTTCTGCAGATTTGACATTTAAAAGTGCGCATTGAGCGCGATTCAATTCTGGGTACGTTAAAATTGATTTTATTTAAGATTATATCACAGTCAATTTTATTATTTAATAACTTAAATAGAAATGTCAATGACGTATTTATTCTTCTTGTTTCCAGGGATGTAAAACCAAAACGATCAAGTAAAGAAGAATGATTAAATCCTTGAGGAGGGTAAAAACCATTAACTTTTGAATTCAAATATTTCAAAAATTTACGATTGATCGATTCGACCCGCCTAATATAAACATTGTAAACTGGTGACCATATTAATGAACAATACTCCAGTTTTGTTCGAACTAAAGAATAATATAAAGTCTTAAGACATTTTTCACTTTTAATACCTAATTTCTAATTACAAACCCTAACATGCGTAAAGATTCATTACAAATATTTTTAATATGGATAGAAAATGACAAATTTTTATCAAACGTAACTCCCAAATCCCTCATGCTAAAAACTCGATCCATTGTAATATGGTTAATCTTATATTCAAACAAAACTGGAGTTTCTTTGTTTGTATAGCTCATTACTTTGCATTTATTAATATTTAAATTTAAACGATTTAACTCACACCACCTTTCTATGTTTTTAATATCTTTTTGCAGGCAGAGACAACTTTCAATATCCTTAATAATTTTAAATATTTTCAGATCATCGGCGAATAGTAATTTTTCACAACCAATGTTATCTGGTAGATCATTAATAAAAATTAAAAATAGAAGGGGCCCCAGATTGGAACCCTGAGGAACTCCTGAGGTAGGATTGATACAATTGGAATAAAAGCCATTATAAAAAACCATTTGTTTCCTATTTATAAGATATGATTCAAATAGTTTAATTAAATTATTGCTAAAGCCAATTTGTTCAAGTTTGCTTATTAAAACAAAATGATCGATTTGATCGAAAGCTTTTTTGAAGTCGGTGTAAATAACATCAATTTCGTTTCCGCAAAACCGTCTTCAATTACGCGAAAGTATACTAAGCTATAGCTGTTTAAAGAATGCATTGGAAGACTTTTTTGATGTTAAGTGGTGTAAAAGGGCATGTTATTCAAAATATATATGTATACATTTTTTTTAATATTGAATTAAGATCGAAAAAAAAAACATTAAATTTAGGTTTTTTAAATTAAATGAGTGTAACACTTAAAAAACAGCTTATTATATAATAAAATTTAAAGAACTACAGGTAGGGCCTTCAAAAGTTAATGGACTTTTGAAAAGCTTTAGCAAATGTGGTACCAGGGCTAAGCAAAATTGGACAAGTTTTAGCACAGATTAACTGTTTTTTTGCTGTTCGAGTCTAAGTGAATCTGCAGTTATTGTCAGTGGCGGTTTGTGGATTTTGGGTATACCGATATCTCAATTATTAGATATGGGACCCAGACCAAATTTATATGAATTTACAATGACATTAAATAGACAAGTTCTGCGAAAGCAGAATTTAAATTGAAGTTTGCGAAAAAAAGTTTACTTATTGCTCGGCCGTACCGGCCCCATGGCGCCCCCAATAAATTTAATTGGTGCAATTTATTATTTAAATTCAAATTTTATTTAAAAAATCCAAATTATACAGATTTTATACCATTTTAAATTTTTAATATTTCTTTTTAAAGAAATAATAAAAATTAAAAAGTATATAAAATCTGGATGATTTGAATTTTTTAAATAAAATTTGAAATTTGTCGATAAACTATAGTAAATAATAAATTGCACCAATTAAATTTATATTATATTTATTGGTGGCGACATGGGGCCGGTACGGCCGAGCAAACTTCAATTTAAATTCTGCTTGCGCAGAACTTGTTTATTTAATGTCATTATAAACTCATATAAATTTGGTGTGGGTCCCATATCTAATAATTGAGATATCGGTATACCCAAAATCCACCAGCCGCCACTGGTTATTGTAGGAAAAATAACTAAAGAAAGTTCCCCAAAACGTGTGACAAATACAATAGAACCCAATGTCTTACACGAGATGAAGCACTGTCCTTAATAATCAACGCAAAATCTAGTAATGCCTACATAACGGCAGCCAAAAGCTGTAACAGCAACTTGGAAAAGTCTAAAATGGTTAGAATGGCGAATGCGCTGTTGTAAAATTATTAAAAATACGACAATCAGGGTTGAAAGCAGTAAAAAGACACGAATGTTGACGTACCGGTAACGGGGGACATGTAACATATAATTTACCTAAGGCCTTAATAAAAAGTAAATATTACCCATAACAGTTTTTTATTATTTATACAAT